GGACGTTCTAATTACGGGTCCGTCTCGTCTGACACTAGTAGTACTATTATAGTACTACATAATCTTCCTACTATATATATATATATATATATATATATATATATATAGTGATTTTCTCCATATGCTAGATCTACTAAAAGACAACACGTGTTCTGAGATGATCTCGTAAGGGTAAAGAGATCCAAATGCATGGAAACAACGAAAAAGAAATAGATGGAAAACACTTTAAAAGATGAAGCAAGCTTTAACTTAATCAGGGCCTCCAAGGACTTCACATATCTTTTCAATTTGGGGGTGTGATCTATCCCCTGCTAAGAAGAGATGCAATCTTCCTTTCACCAAAATCCAACTGCAACCAGGATACTTTCTTACACCTTTATGCCCCATTCTCTTTCTAAGTCTTGTTTCCTCGTCATGTCGACCATTAGCTGCATATATGTTGCAGAGTAACACATGAGCTGGTGCATTTAAAGGATCAAAGTGGAGTACATGCTCCATAGCCCTCTTGCCAATAGCCACATTCTTATGTATGCTACATATGGATAGCAAAGCTCCCCACACGTTTAAACCAGGCTTAAATGGCATTTTTTGAACAAATTCCAAAGCCTCACCTACTCTTCCGAAACGCCCAAGAAGGTCGATCATGCATATATAGTGTTCTTCCTCTGGTTCAATGTTGTGTTCATGTATCATGGATCGGAAGAGCCTCCATCCATCATCCATAAGCCCAGCATGGCTACATGCTGATAGAATGCCAAGAAATGTTACTGAATTTGGTTTTAGGCCTTCACCCGTCAAGGCATCTAGGAGCGTCACGGTCATGGCAGCTGAGCCATGATGTGAAAATCCCATGATCATCGAGTTCCAAGAGATTATGTCACGATATGGCATGTTAATGAATACTTTGTAAGAATTGTCTATAGACCCGCATTTTGCGTACATGGAAACCAGTGAGTTATTGATTATTATGTCTGAATTTGGTCTTGTTTGGATTAACCGAGCATGGAACTGCCTCCCCTGATCTAGATATGCCATGGAACCACAAGCGCTGAGAAGGCTTGAGTATGTATGGTCCAGGGGTTTGATGCATGATTGCTGCATTTGGGAGAACAAGTCCATGGCTTCTGAGAAGAGCTCGTTATGGACGTGCCCCGATATCATGGCAGCCCATGATATGGCATCTTTCATGGTCATGGGCATCATCTCAAAAAGGTGGCAAGCTTCGTCCACATCCCCTGCACTTAAATACCCATTTATCATGGATGTCCATGACACCGCATCCCTGGTATCCATGGCATCAAACAAGCGCCTAGCTTCTCTCAATGACCCATGTTGAGCATAACCATTGATAAGTGAATTCCATGACATGGTGCAATTCTGTTGACGCTTTTGAAATATATAATGGGCATAATCCATGATTCCAAACTGAGAGTACATGTGAATCATGCTTTTTGATAATCTCTCATCATCATGGTCATGTAAACCATTCACCATTAAACTGGCATGGAGCGGCTTACCGATGTTAACATAACCCAAACCAGAGCATGCATGAAAGAGGGAGATAAATGTGATACTATTGGGCTTCACACTTGCCCATCTCATGGCATGAAAGATAAGCAATGCATCATCATACATGCCATTCCACACATACCCACCAATCATGGCAGTCCATGATACGAAATTCTTCACTGGCATTTGCTCAAAAAGCTCTCGAGCTTCGCTCACGTTGCCACTTCTACAATAACCAGCCACCATACTTGTCCATGTGATAACATTGGGCTTAGGCATGGTATCGAATGTAGCTCTCGCCTCCCCCATCATGGCACTTTCAACATAACCTGATAGCATAACATTCCATGAAATCGTGTTTTTATCAGGCATCTCATCAAAGAGCCTTCGAGCCTCTGTGAGTTCATGGTTGTGTATTAACCCTGATATCATGGCATTCCATGAAGTGGGGTTCCTCTCAGGCATTGAAATAAAGAGCCCCATGGCTTCTTTGATCAATCCTGAGAGTGCAAAGCCATGAAGCATCGCGGTCCAAGAGACCACATTCCTATGAGGCATTCTCTTAAATAACTGAAAGGCATCCATAATTCGACCACTATTTATATAAGCAGTGAGCATTGCATTCCAAGTGACTTGGTTTCTTTCAGGCATTGAATCAAAGAGCTTTCGAGCTTCATCAATGCGTTTTTTGCGAGCAAGCCTGGAAATTGCAGACGTGCATTGCAAAACTTCTCTTTTTGAATTTTTATCGAACAAACGATGGATAGTCGGACAATGTGATTTGGGTCGGTCTTGAAGCTCGAAATGGGGCAGTTCAGAAATGGGGCAGTTCAGAAATGGGGCCTTGATTTGAAGGGAAGAAAATGGGAGTGAGAGAAAATTTCTCATGGGCTGGTCTGGAAATGAGGTCATGTTTCGAAGAGAAGGAAATTGAAGGAAAAGAAAATTTGGAATGAGGTGTTTTGGAAGTGGGGGCTTTGATTGATTTGAATACCAAAGAGAGAGAAAACTTGGGTGATTTGAGAAGAGTGCAGAGGGAAGTAGGCATCTATGGGAAGGGTAGTGAGAGAAATTGGCAGCCTCCTTCAAACGGAGAATGCTTGACATTTGGAAGTGGAGTACATATGTTTCCATTATTTACCTCATGCATCTCACGGGAAACAGGGCAGAAGAGAGAGAAAGCAGGAGAAATATGTGTCCATGGCTAGAGAGAGAAAGCAGGAGAAATATGTGTCCATGGCTAGAGAGAGAATAAGTTTTCTTTGAACCAGAGGCCAAAGTTCTCAGCTTTTCAAACTGCTCCATTTTACCATCTTTTCCTAAAATTGCCCACCTCATTCTCGTAATATTTACCAATAGAAGGGGTACATTACGACCAACTGTGTATAACTTTACCCGGGCCCGGGTTGGTGACGCGGATTACTCATCCAGAAAATTAATCTAGATCAGAGAATCAGCTATTGGATCGGTGGATCGGTCTGTTCAAAAAATCTCCAAAATTGCTAGGAATTCTTAAAATCCAAATTTATGAGGTTTTTTAAGAAAGGGGTATTATTCTATAGAATTTTTTTTTTTTGACCTTTTTATTAAAAATACTTGCTTTAACCATTGCATTCATTTCATAGTCAAACTAAAATTTAAAATACACTAAGATTCAGTTATTTTTTAGGCTATCTTTTAATTTTATTTTATTTTTTGTATTGTGAAAATGAAGGCACGTCTATGAGGTTCAAAATTTGAGAATGAATAGTATATTAATATTTTTTTTTCTTTTTTGTGATTAACTTTGTTTAAAATCGGGTGTCTTACTTCAAAGGTTCGAAAAATAAAGAGGAAATCAAACAAGGATTACATTCAGAAAAAAAAAAAAGCCAAAGAATTCCACAATACAAAAAAACACAAGAAATATAGAAAAACAATTAAAGACATAAATATATCATAATATTAACATTAAAATAGGTAAATGCAAAATAAATTTAGGCTCTTTAGTTAGCAGATGAATATAGCTTATCTATTGAGAATTTCAACTTAATGGTTTTCTCACCAATAAGGCTGAAGATAATAAATTTGGTCATTGTGGTTGGCCAAATAATTTCATAGTGCTACCATTACTATATAGTATTCATCTCTCTTTGGTGATAAATAAACCAAAAACAACGCATAAAGAAAATGTATTGTTGCAAATGAACGAGATATTAAAGAATTGTCCATAGATTTTCTCAATTTTGAGACAAAGTACTTAATGTACTTATTCGATCTAATAGAATGATTTTGTTATATCCATAATAATACCAATCCAACCCATTTCCTGAATAAAATGCAATCGATTAACCAATCAACAAAACTTCTTGTTACACCATTTCCTGAATAAAATGCAATCGATTAACCAATCAACAAAACTTCTTGTTACATGTAATTAACCTTATAAGAGATAAATGCAAAATAAATTTAGGCTCTTTAGCTAGCAATGAATGTAGCTTCTGTATTGAGGTTTTCCAACACAATGGTCATGTCACCCTAAAGCCATGTCCGCAGCTAGATTGTGACCTTGCTTTTAAGGTTTTCCCACCTACAAGGTTATGATTTATGAATGCCATAAAGCATATATGTGTACCATTTGAAAAGGAAGATTAGAAATTGAAGAACCAACAATTCAACCATGGATGTATGTAGAAAGAGACAGATCAATGATCTTGTGCAAAAAAATTGTGTTTGAGAGAGAGAGATAATCAATGTGAAATTGGGTGCTTGAAGCTATGTCACTGGATGCACATAAAGTTTAAAATAAAAATTTTTGGACTTTGTGACATACCACAAGCTATCTAATTTCATACCCAATGGTTAGGATTGATTGTGATTTTTATGTACCAAAAATAAATTGTCTTATAGTGTACAATCCCCAAACAAAATCCAGCAATGCTTTTGAACGTGATCCATGATTTCTCTTGTATAAAAAACACAAGCACAATATTTTTACACTCGAGTGCATACACTATGCTCCTACGGGAGCTGCCTACTTCTCGCCCAAAACACATGCCTAGGAAAAAAAGATTTTGTCTCATATTTTGGGAACCACATAAGAATTACTAGATGATTATTTTCAAACTAAAAAAAATTTAATTTTGGAGATTCATGAAACTTAGATCTAGCCCTGCAAAAATTTGACCGTCTCTATTCAGTCTTGAGGCATTGATTTATTTTCTATTATATGGAGAGTTTATTTCAAAACTTCTTTTTATTGAGATTAGTCTACGGATTATAACTATTACGTCCCTAAAGTTTGAGATCTACAAAGGATCTATAGCATATGTTTTGCCTGAGGGAGTAAATAGATAATATACTATTTTTTATGTATACTCCTGCCGAAGTAGGTAATCTTCTGGCTTTATCCAAGATCAATGCTTTCTTTTTTATAATTTCAAGAACTTTTATTAAATTGTTGCTTAAAAAGCATCGGTTACAAGACTGGAACTATAGCATCAAAAAACAGATAAAGATGACAAAGAGACCCCAAATTTCACTAAATGATATGCTGCATCATTAGCTTCCCGAAAGATATGAGAGAAAGAGATACGAAGCGAAGGTGAAGAGCAAATATCCATAATCAATGCTCTCTCTCGCTCATATTTTTACACAAGATAAAATGATCTTTCTCCCCCACCTGAATTCATTGTTGAATTGTCGGTTCCCTTTTCAAATCACTTAAATACGATGATAAACCATTGAAAAGCAAAGTATAAACAATCTCTAATTCATGCCCCTTTCCCATGATGCCAATCCCAATAGCTAGATAGTACACATGCATGCGTTATGGAAATTGTAACCCTGTAGAGTGTCGACAATAAAAAAACTTTTTAAAAGCGAAGTGAGCATTTTAATTGGGGTCCTTGGCCTCAGGGCGACATGACAATTAACTTGAAAGTATGAGTGGATAATCTCCTCCCTTACTCAAAATACCTACTTAGGAGAATGTTTTTTAGTCTAAAACTTTGAGAAACACATAATAATTATTAAATAATTATTTTTAGAAAAAAATAATTTTATTTTTAAGTTTTATGACACTTAAATCTAGCCCTTCAAAAATTGGGCGTTCTCTATTCATTCTTGTAGTACATGCAAAGTCTATTTCGAAAGTTTTCTTTTCTTTGCCGATATTATTCTATGGGTTGTAAAAATTACATTCTCAAAATTTGAGATCCAAAAAATTTAAAAATTCAAAACCTATTAAACAAGACAAAAAATAAAGTTTAACTAAAAAACAAAAGAAAAAAAACAAACTTTAGTTTGTGACTATGACATGAAAATAACTGTTAACAAATATTTCGACATGAAACATGTTCCTATAACTTAAGCATCTTAAGCAAAATACTGAAAATCACTAGTGCCAAACCACCTTGTTTGTAAAGGAAAAAAATAAAACCCCTAAGAAAATGACATTGCCCTGTTCTAAATCATCGTGTGTTTTCTTATGCAGAAGTCAAAACCTCTTTGCACCAAGTATAATAAGTTGGATCTCTCTTTCTCTGGCCACCTCGAATAAGCTAGATTTTTGGGAAAATTACAAAAAACCCTCAAGACAGTATTTTTTACGTAATTTACTCTTAACCCAATTTTTTTTTCATTTTTTTCTCAAAATAAACTTTTTATGCAAATGACCTCCGCAAGGCAAAAAACTCATTTGTTTTAGACTGAAATGCCTTATCATACACAAAAATTAATTTGGTCAAATTTGACATTCACTTTTAGACCCAATAGCAAATTGTCGGAACACTATCGCCTTGCCGAATTGAAACTGACTACTGTCGGAGCGTCCTTTGCAACTACCGGAGCCCAATGACTCAAAAGTTCTATTGTCGGAGCGTTGTGACTCCATAATATGTATCGGAGCGTTGTGACTCCATAATATTTACTATCGAACTGCACTTACACAGTGCCGGAGCGCTGTGATTCTAGAGTGTTTCACTTTCGAACCACACTTATACAGTACCGAAGTGTTATGACTTGTTACACTGCCATACCGTAGTTACACAGTGCCGAAGCGCTCGATCTACTACTACATTTACAAAGTGACTAGCTCTATTTTGGTGGGATAAAAGAGAGAGCTAAGGTAAAAGTAAAAGAAAGTAGTTTAGATATTTTTTATTTATTTTTCGATAGGAGGTATTTACATGAAAAATATATTTTGAAAAAAAAAAAAATGAGTGACAAAGTTCAGTGAGGTTTGCATGAAATGCATTTTATTTTTATTTTTATTTTTTAATTTGCCTTGAATTTTGTCTCCAACCGGAATGATAACCTAGATCTCTCTCACCCGAGCATAATAAAGTTCCGCGCCCACCAATCGCCTTCCCCCCTCTTCGGTTCTTCCTCCCAGTTCATCGTTTTTTTGTACTCTTCCTCTCTGAAAGTTAAAAGATGCCATTTTTGTGGTCTTTGTGGGTTCTTGGAGCTCACATTAAGCCCTCACCTGCAACTATTCTCTGAAATGGGCGATTTAAGCAGAAAAATATCTAAAACCAACGTTCTCTTGAGGAGTTTTAATTAATGGCTTCCATAGGAGCAGTAATCACTATCAAATGTTCCTCTTCTCTCTGCCATTCTCCATCAAAACTCCATTTCTACTGTCCACCTCCTCAAACCCACTTACTTCCACTTCTTCATGGGCTTCGCAATTTCAGACCCATAAAGCTTCAGACAGCTTCGTCCTCATTTTCCCAGGTAATTTTCAATGATGATACCCTTCCATTCTCTCTCTCTCTCTCTCTCTCTCTCTCTCTCTCTCTCTCTCTCTCTCTCTCTC